CCAACGGCCGCCTCAGTGCATGCGGGGGAGCTTGGGGTAATTGCAGCAATTTGGTTTCCAAGAGCAACGTCTGCCAGGGAAGTAAATGGCAGTGAAGTGACCCGAGCGCTCCCCTGCAGCGCGGGGAAAAGGGGTAAATCAGGATCCTTGCAGGCAGCGAGCACAGAAACACGACTGCTCTTACAGGACTGAGCGGGCCGGGGGGACTGGGCCCCGCTGCGGGCGCTTCGGCAGGGGCTGCAGGTCCTTCACCTCCACTCTGCTCGGGGTGCAGCGCCCTGGGGGCTGCACAGCCCCCCCTGCCCCCGGGGGGCTGCACGCCTCCCCCAGCACTGCTCCCGCCCCGACAGCACCACTTACAGATGACAAAGCACTTGGGCTCCAGGAAGCAACTGAATCCAGCAAGCAGATGCTTTTGAAAATCATTTTTATTTAAATAAAACCTTTAAATACATTACATAAAACATTAAAAATGAAACCAAGGCTGTTACTTCACAGGGCATTAGGCAGCAGTCGCCAGGAACACAGAAGCTCTGCGGCTCTATCTACAATACTCGTTACATTAGTCCGAAATCGATCCCTTGTCACAAGTTTAACCCAAGGTCGCGGCTCCTGCGGGGACCCTCGCCCGGTGCCTCGGGGCGGGGGGAGCACCAGCGCCTGCCAGGCCTCAACTGCAGCTCGGCCGCCTTCGAGTCCCTCTTGGCTTCCTGCTCTGGTTCAGCCAAACTGGCCCAGAGCCCTCTGCCACCCGGAGCCGCCGCAGCTCCCCGGGCTGCCTCGGCGCCCGCACGGGGCCTCGCTCCAGCAGCGACGGGGGGAGGCGCCGCCACAGGAACCGTCCATCGGGCTGGGAGAGCAGCTGGGCCGAGGAGCGATCCGGACCCTCTCTGGACTGACCGGCCGAGTCACTTGGCTTAACTTGGAACATCTGGTTACTTTTGGCTTCAGGCTGGACCGTGCCAAACGCCCGATTTACCTCTGTTAAATGAGGGACAGCAAGACGAGATAGCATGGGCTCTTGTCAGTTTATTACATCACTGAATTACACTAGTCCAGACTGAACAGTGGACCCAAGATTGTTACATTACACAAACCGGCTGGTTTTAAACTTATGACAAGGGACAGATGGGAATTTCATGGTAAGGAAATCTTCTTGCATAAAGCTTCAGTGACCCACAGGCACTTAAAACCCATGGACTTTCAGCTGGTCGTCTTTAGCCAGTCCAATCTGCAAGAAAGAAAACGCACTTTACAGCACCCCGGAGCAGAGGGACCCCACCCACGCTGCGGATGCTGCAGAACCGTCAAACTTCTGCTCCCCCCTAAAGTACGGAACGAGGATTAGAGTGCAAGTGCAAAACCTCAAGCAAGAAGTTCAGGAAGAACAGAAAGAGCTTCCTCCATCCGCCTGCTCTTCTAAAGCTAAGAAAATTAGAACGCGTGTAGTTATTAACACAGAAACTCATGTGTAGTTGAACGCTTGGCCGGCAGGCGCAGCAGACCGAGGGGCCCTACCTCTACGAGGAACTGGCATATGTTCTTGCGCTGGTCACCTTGTAGCTGAATCACTTCTCCATATTCAGGGTGTTCGATTACAGTACCATTGCAGGCAAATTTCTACGGCAAAGAGAAAAGCCCGCTCAGGACGACGCAGATCACAACCGCCACCCCCGGGCGCTGCTGCAGCCCCCCAGCCCGGGCCGGGAGCTGCGCCCCGGCTTGGCGGGGGCTCCCCCGGCAGCACCCACCTTTTTGAAGGCCTTCACCAGTTTCTTTTTATCGTAATCATCCGCGATGCCCTGGACTGTGGTGAGGGTCTTCCTGCCGTTCCGCTGCTGGATCCTTATATGGATGTAGTCCTCAGTGCCGGCAGGGAGCAGGTCATCACCCTTACTTGCATCAGCAAAGGGGTCTGCGGGCACCGCCCGTCAGACCCCGGCCCCGCCGCGCCCCACTGGCCAGCCCGCCCGTCCGTCAACCGCAGGGCCCGCCCCCCACGGGACAGCGCGCCCGTCCATCAGCCGCAGGGCCCGCCCCCCAATGGTCCAGCCCGCCCGTCCGTCAGCCGCAGGGCCCGCCCCCCATGGGCCAGCCCGCCCGTCCCGTCAGCCGCAGGGCCCGCCCCCCGAAAGATCAGCCCGCCCGTCCATCAGCCGCAGAGCCCGCCCCCAATTGGCCAGCCCGCCTGTCCGTCAGCCGCACGGCGCGCCTCCCCCCCCCCCCCCCCGCCCCGCGGCTGACGCAACCGGCCCCAGGAATAGCAACTGCGCCACGGGGCGGGGCCGCGCCAGGGCGGGGCCGCCAGGCCGCTCCCCCGGCCCCGCCGCCGCACAAAGGGCCTCACCGAAGGGCTGGAGGTTCTGGATAGCGGACATACGATACGCTTCCCTTCCCTTCCCTCGGCGAGGCGGCGGCAGCGGCGGAGGCGACGACGGCGCGAGCGGCTCTCGGCGGAGGATGCTGGCGCGGCGGCGGCTCCAGACGCTGTCAGGGGGGCGGGACTGGCGCCGCCCGCTTATATACCGCCCCCGTGTGACGCCAGCGCGCACGGCGAGCGAAGGCGGTGATTGGCCGCCGCGCGGGGGTCGTCACGCCGCACGGGCGAGCGCGGCCGCGCCCCGGCTGGCGCGAGAGGCGCCGCGCGCATGCGCGGCGTGAGGCCCGGGAAGGGGGGCTGTTCGAGCGCAGGGCGGCGCATGCGCAGTGCGGCGGGTCCCCGGCGGGGCAGGGGCCGCACCGTGAGCGGGCAGGGGGGGACCCCGCGGTGCCGCGACCCCCCCCCCCCCCCCCGGCACCCCCGGCCGCAGCAACCCCCGCACGGCCGGGGGAACGGCGGCCGGTGGGAGCATCCCCGCGTCCCCCGGAAGCTGCCGGGAGGCCGGACGGAGCCGTCAGCGAGGCCCACGGGTCTCCCGTGGCGGGGGCACGGGGGGTTCATCTGCGAAGTGCGGCGGCCGCGCTGCCTCCCCGGGGCTGCTCGGCCCCCGGGCGCCGCAGAGCCCCACGTTCGGGAGTGGGGGCCTGGGCGCGCCACGGTGCCAAAGGGAAAGGCTCGGGGTGTCACCCGAATCTGCCAGGAAAGGCAGCTTCTCCAAACGCGTGAAACGAGTCCCCTCGCGCTTCTGCGTGTCAGCGCAGGCAGGCAGGCCGGGGCGAACCGAAGTCCTTGCGGGGGGAACTCGGTCCGTCTTCGCCGTCTGTCCCGAACGGCCGGTGCGGCGTGGCTGGTGCGGGCTCATCGCCTTCCCGGCTCAGCCAGGGGACCGCGATGGCCGGGCTGGGTCGGGACACCCCAGTGACACCGGTCACGGTGCTCGGAAAGGGCCAGTCTGGCCTTTTGTAACGTGCTGAGGCCGAGGTGGTGTGAGGAGTCGGCTCAGCAGAGCGCTGAGCCCCCAACCATGAGCTGGAGCGGGGGGTCCCGGGGGACCAGGCCGGCTGCTGGCTCGCGGCCGGTGCTGCTCCAGAGCTCCGGCACTGCCGGGCAAAGCTGCCGGTCGTTGCCTCAGAGCCCCAGTTGCTGGTCAGTGAGAACTGGTGAGCTCAGCTCTGGCCCTTGCCTCAAAGCCCTGTGGATGGAGATGTGACCAAACATACTTCAAAACCAGATGTGTTTAATCCTGCTTGAGTCCCAACTTGGGGGCCAGGAGCCTGGGTCTCAGCGCTCAGTATGAGCTGCTAAAGAAAGACAATTTCTCGCTTTCCTGGTGCCTGCTGTGTGGCTAAAAACCCCTCACAAACTGATGAGTCTCCCAGCACTGGCTCAGCACAATGCGGAGGGGTGGCTCCTGGCAGAGGAACATCACATCCAGCTCAAAGATATATTACATGTTCTAAAAATACACAGAAACTCCAGATATGAAGAACAGTAAATCTCCTCCACAATTAATGGGGTCAAAAGCCATATAGATCCAGATGGAGCGTAAACTCCTCTGGGAGAGAGGTAGAGCTGCATACAGAGCGGGAATATTGCCCCCAGGGACACCTGGGTCTACTGTGTTGCATCTGTTGGGCTGTTGGATCGTTTATCCTGGAGCTTATCAGCTCCTTTTAGATCTCCTGTGGCCTCAGCTCTCACCGTGTAGGTGTTCCTGCCCTGCTTCGGGAGCCATCTCTGAACTACTACAGATTTTTGACAGATTATTGGCATCTGGGTGTGCTGCCATCTGTGGGTCCTGGCAGCCATTACATGGTTTAGATGTTGCATCATTCTTGGGGGTTTTATTTAAGATAAAGGCAAATTGTTTATCTTTCACTAGGTAGAACGAATGATTTGTGTTGCTGTATTTCAGTGTCTCTCTGGTGTTTCTAATGCATCTGTCACTTTTATATGTCCGTATGTGACACTTCAGCTGGAGAACTGGTTTAAATTTTCATTAAAATGTGAATTTGCTCCACGACCATCATGAACAAGCAGATGGCTCTTCTCTCTCCTCTTTTTCTGATCAGATTTTCCATCTCTCCCAGAAAAGGAACCGTCTCTAGCAGCCTCATGGTGCTGTATCCAGACAGCAGAGGAGCAGATAGAGTTTTACGCTGCATCTTTCTGCTGGAGGCATTTCAAAGTCCTTGCAACAGCAAAGGGACTGTTTATCAAATTCAATGCCAGACACTCAGAGTCACTGGTACCTCCTGTCTTATGCCTGCTGGTGGGCAGACTGGTCTCACGGCTGAGCTGGGATGCCCCAGAGAGCCCATTTATCAGCGTGGCTGCAGATTCACTGTCCGTGCGATACATCCCAGTTTGTATCCCCACCACCCAGAGCCTTTGGTAAAATACCAAAAGAGGCGAGTGTGTGTTAGACGCCAGAGCTAAGCCCATTGCTGGTGATGGGCTGAATGCTATTGGGGAAATCTTGACATCAATTTTTCATCCTTCAGAGCAGGATTCAGAACAGGCACCTGCAGCCTCGGGTGGCTTCAGCGGGGCGCCGGGGCTGAGCCCCCTGCACCCTCCTCACCTCTGCCCATCTTCGGGTGCTTGGTCCCAACCTGGTCCTGCCTCCCTGCCTGCCCGAGGAGGTGCCTCCTCCCAGGCAGACGTTTGTCCGGGGCTCCCCACGAGGTGGCAATGCTGATCTCCTTTGCTAGAGCATCTCTCAGCAGGTAGCACCGGCTTGCTGCAGTTTCTTTTCCGCCCAGTGCCTGGCAAATCACCATCTCCCTCCATCCGCTCCAGGCTGAACACTGGCTCCGCGCACAGGAAAACCCCAGTGCGTGAGGCCGTGGCAATGTCGGGTGAGCTGCCAGGTTTGTGTTAGGGTCAGCAGGAGGAGCAGAGAGGGGCCGGAGCAGTCCGTGTCCTGTGACACCTGCGTTATCGTTCCTCAGCCGAAGGCATGGCTCTGCAGATGTGCTTCAGGCTGGGGGTGGCTTCTGGAAACGGTCTTGTCCCTTAGCAGCGAGTGGTACACACGGCCGCAGAGGGCCCCTGCAGCGAGGAAATGCGCTGGTGGCAAGGGCAGGGGCTGCCCAGCATCGGGACCCGAGGATGTCAGGGGGAAACAGTCCCACATGCACCTGGACGTGTGTGGCACGACGGGCCCGGCGACCCTGGGGTGATGCAGCTCAGCCCTGTGAGCAGGGATCCTCCAGCAGCCGTTCCAGGTGCTCGCGGGTGCCCTTGGGTGGGCGACCAGCCCGGGGTTACTGCAGGTCTCTCCCTTTTGAGTCCTGCGAGGCCATTTCACCCTGCGCTCTGAGGTGGGGGGTCTCGGTGCCCTCCAATACTCCTGGGAAGTGTAGCAGAAAGGAAGGAATCACCCCAGCATTTTGCTTTACTGCTTCTCCCACAGCTCAGAAATGCCCTCCGGGCTGGGACATTCCTAGAAACCAGCTTTTCTCCTCTAACATCCTTCCTGTAGCCTCAGTGTGACTGCACAGACTTGGATTCAGGATGAGCTGGATTTTTGATGTACAGTATTTGATCCCATTAATCAGCGAAGGCAGCACCGACAGGCGTTAGCTCTGGTGATTAGCCTGCTCCTGGAAAGAGCTGAGGCATGGCCGGGTGAGCCCCGCTGTCACCGGGCCAGAGGCAGCGCAGGGAATCCCAGTCCCTTTGCTCAAGCACCACAATCCCTTTCCTTACGCAGCTCTTCCATTTCACGTCCCAAGGTCTGCAAACCCTGGAAGTGTTTATGTAGTGAGCAAGCGACCCGATCTCTGCCCGCCCGGGCGCGGGGCCGCGCTGGGTGCTCCCTGTGGTACCCGTCCGTGGGACGCTGCTGGGATGGAGCCGCTGGACGTGCTGCCACACGGACACCCCCAGGAGGGTCTCGCATGCATCCTGCGCGGCGCTGCCGCTCGTCCCGGCACAGCCCGCGCCCCCGCCGCGCACAGCAAGGGCTGTCTGTGGGCACGGCCCGATTCCTGTCGATCCCAGTGACCCCCCGTCACCAATTAGGCTCCTGCTGTATGACAGTTACTGATTTCTGATGGTGTTTATTCACGCTCCCTCCCACTGCTCAGCTCCCCCTTCCCCTGCCAGGGGCCTTCCTCCCCACCGCTCAGCCTTTGCCTTTCCCAGCGCTGGATGTGAATCCTCTCCTCTCCGCGAGGTGCCAGGAGAGTTCCAAGCACCGGGGCTCAGCCCAGCCCAGCCCAGCAAAACCCAGCGCAGCTGCTGGGGCTGGTGAGCAGGCACAAGGCCAGCTCAGAGCCCTGCTCAGCCTCTCCTGCCTGCACTTGTGCACAGGCAACGGCGGGGACGCAGCATCCCCTGGCCGGGAATGTCCCCGGGGGCAGCCTCACGCTGCGTGGGGCCGGCGGGTGCTGGGGAGCCCCAGTGGGGTGGGGGGGCTGCAGCCCCAACTGCTCCATCCCACTGGGCTTGGGCCCAGCCCCTGCGTGCCGGTGCAGAGGTGCTGGGGGGTTGTCACAGGGATGGTTGCCCAGGGGCTGGGGGATCCCCTGGGTTTCCTGCAGAGAAGGGGTGCTGTACCCTCCCCTGCAGCCCCGGCCAGCTCCCATGCCATTCCCACGGGGCCAGGATGAGGCCTGGCCTGCACCCCAGGGATTCCCCCTGGATGAGGTTGAGGCCCCCGTGCACACATCGCTCAGCACTCACATTGCAAGGAAGACATCAAATAAACATCCACCTTGTTGGGGTCACTGGATGGCCCCAGCTCTTGCCCGGGGTCTCGGCATCCGCCTGGAGCAACCTGACAGGGGAGCAGCGATGGCAGGGGGTGGGCAGGGTGGGCGCAGGGTGGGTGCAGCCCCCCCGGCCGGTGCCCTGCCTGCTCTCGTGCCCAGCTCTCAGCGCACTGGCTGTCTCTTCAGCTCTGCCCGACCGTGCTCTGCCCATGGGGCCGGGGGTGGCTTGTACCGAAGCAGATCCAGGCTCAGGGCCGGGCTGGTCCTGGGCTGTGCAGACCCTGCCAGGGCTTCCCGGGGTCCCCAGCAGCACTGTGGGTGTCTGGTGGAGAGCAGAGCCGCTGCTCTGAGGCGCAGTGACCTGTGCGCATGGGCCACACTGTCCCCAGAGACATCTCT